GCCTGGTAGGATGAGGTTTACCAGGGAGGGCGATAAGGGGCTTTCATGTCGACAAGGGCGCGTCCAGACGGCCCCGATCTGCCGACAAACAGCTGATCGGCAGAGCGGGGCAGCCATTTAAATTTAAATGAAGCCGAGATTATTTTAATCGCGGCTTCATTTCCCTCTTCCGATGTGGCTAATCTACATGCCTCCGTCGACGGAGGCATGGAGTCTGGACACAGCCTTAGTGTAGCAGTCTCTACAGCTTGAGTTATACAGTCCATTACCTCTGAGTGCTGGCTGTAGAGCTCACTCATTCTTCTCTCCCACTGTAAGTGGTCTAAGTGTCACTACATCAGACAGTGAACCACATCCCCTAAGTGTGTGGGTTACAACTGCACTTCAAATTAGTCTCTAAATATCTTGGCTCTGCACTGTAGAGGTGATGCCATTCAGAATTGTGTCCAATGTATTAAAATAATACTTAGGAAACTAGGTTTCTTTCTTGTTTCCTTTATTTAATGTGATTAATGATTTGTAGGCTTCATCATATTCTACATCCCTAATTCAGCCAAAGATTGTCATAATTTAATGTTACTATAACTTTGTGTTAACTATGCTTCTGCACTAATTAATGCCATGGAATTTGGCCTAATTAAGAAAGTTCAAAACATGTGTCTGATATAACATTTTGACCAACAGTACTATTGATATAATTAATGAATTATATCAATTATAAGTAATGAATTATATTTTGCCAGATATACCTAATGATGGTAATGTGCCTGAGTAACCCTGTAACTAGAGATACGCTTAATACTACTTAGACATGTGCTGTCCATCAAATCATGACATACTTCAGTTTTCTTCACTCTTTGGTTGAACAGTGTTTTTCTTAAATCTTCTGATGACCGTTCTTGCTGAAATTATATACTAATATTGTACTTTGCACACAGTAGTACAGGCAGTCCCCGACTTACACGGATCCGACTTACGTTGGATCCGCACTTACGAATGGGGCTTTCTCGCCCCGGAGCTCACAGGCAGCGGTCAGCCACCTCGACCTCCGGGGCGAGAAAAGCTGCTCCCGGTGTCCCCAAGTCAGCCGTTGCTGAAACTGACCAGCACTGACTACAGGAAGCCCGAGGCACAGTTGCTCTGCCCCGGGCTTCCTGGAATCAGTGGCTGATCAGTTTCAGCAGCAGCTGACTTGGAGTTCTTAAGTTGAATCTGTATGTAAGTCAGAACTGGCGGTCAGTTTCAGCAGCGGCTGAATCAGGACGCCTGGGGCAGAGCAGCTGGGATGCTGCTGGGTTGCTCCAGTAGCGCCGCTCCTTGGCGCTACTGGACCAACCCAGCAGCACCCCAGCTGCTCTGCCCCAGGCGTCCTGATTCAGCTGCTGCTGGTCAGTTTCAGCAGCGGCTGAATCTGGACGCCAGTTCTAACTTACATACAGATTCAACTTAAGAACAAACCTACAGTCCCTATCTTGTACGTAACACGGAGACTGCCTGTAATTTCTTTTTCCTTTCATGTCATTAGAAATAGGCATCTGTTGTGAAGGCTAAGGTACTCTACATAATATAGTAAACTGTACACAAATCTTTCCAAGTCTCTCTTTCAGATCGGAATTGTTAAGAAAATAGAAATGAGATGCTATTTAGCTAGCACTGTAACAGAAGCAAGTAAACAAGATATTTTCTCTACATACGAGTTTCAGGGGTAAAGGTAAAAATGTATTGTGAATTTCTTTGTTAGCTCTTAGGTGCACATGTACCATGTCACCTAAAATAACATTAAGTGCTCAGACTCTCTCTCTGACATACATAGCAACCTGAGAATATCTAAAGATTAAGGACCTTATGATCCTTCCTGTACAAAACAAGTTTAGAAGTTGAGGAAATAAAACCCCTGGGTTTTTTTTTGTCCGATTTTTCTCTCTTCTCTTTGGGTTGAGTCAATGATGGTGCATAAGTGGAAGTCATCAGGAGTTGGGAGTGGGGGTTAAAGATTCTTGTTTTTCACATGCAGACTTTGTGAAAAAGGGATTTTATACTTCATGGCCTCTTTCTCCTATTTCCATGTTATTGAAATGGTTTTGTCTAGAGCTTGTTGGGACTATCGTTTCCAATTGCAAAATGCTCATTTATCAATTTTAAGTCTGTCATGCTTTTTTAAAAAGAACTTTTGTTGAGAAGGTTTCTTGGGTCCAATATGGAATTCAGAGAGAGAATGAACACTCACCCATTCTCCCTCCTCACCCTCAGTAACCAATATCCCTACTCTCAGGGCAAAGATGTGCTGAGGAAGGGGGTGGGGGGGAGGGAACCAAACAAGTTCAGATCTTTTTGCTCTGAATCTCAATTCCAAGTATCTCACTTGCTAGAGGGCAGACCTAATCATGAGACTATTCTGGGTGAATCTCTTTAAAAATGCAAATGTTCCACCCATTGTATAATGTGAAATTATTTGAAATCTCCAGTTTTCATGGGATGGGAAAACTGTCCCTCCCAGGTCTAGTTTTGTACTTCTACATGCTGCATTGAACAGAGAATAAATAGTCCTCAGTGTAAATTCTGGGAAAAACTTCCTTTAATATAGCTCCAAATTAGTCCTTTATTTGCAAAAGGGAACCAAACAAGGAATACATTAAATAGTAGGGACTTGAATAAATGCAACCATTCTGAAAAGTTTGTATGTCTCATAATTTTTCATGATGACACTGTATAATGACACAAACTGTTACGTTGCCAGATCTTATTAGTGCTTGCTAGCAGAATGGGGATGCTGTCATTTTCTTAAACTGCCCTGTTTTTGCTATGGCATGACATTACATTTTTGCTTTTAACCAGACATCTGTTCTTTGTGATTATAACCAAAATTAGAGAATGTCTGACTTGTACTATAGTAAGAAAAAGTCAAAATTTGCTGTTTACCCCAATTATAAAGCTAGATTTTATTAAAATAATCTCAAAATTATTTTTTTTCCAGAAATAGCTTTTTATAAGTAAAAATTATAAAAATAAGCAAATATTTATATAAACATATAAAAGTCACTATCGCTCACAATATTTCTTCAAAACTTCTTGACTGGTTATTAGTGTACATTGTAATAAAAATCATATTCAGATTATATAGTCGTTTTAGTTTATTACATTGGGTCCATACAACTCCCTTGCATAACAACTATGCTTAATTCAATATATTAGAATCATAGGACTGGAAGGGACCTCGAGAGGTCATCGAGTCCAGCCCTCCACCCTCAAGGCAGGACCAAGCTCCGTCTACACCATCCCTGACAGATGTCTATCTAACCTGTTCTTAAATATCTCCAGACAGGGAGATTCCACCTCCTCCCTTGGCAATTTATTCCAATATTTGACCACCCTGACAGTTAGGAATTTTTTCCTACTGTCCAATCTAAACCTCCCTTGCTGCACTTTAAGCCCATTACTCCTTGTCCTGTCCTCAGAAACCAAGAGGAATAAATTTTCTCCTTCCTCCTTGTGACACCCTTTTAGATATTTGAAAAGCGCTATCATGTCCCCCCTTAATCTTCTTTTTTCCAAACTAAACAAGCCCAGTTCATGAAGCCTGGCTTCATAGGTCATGTTCTTTAGACCTTTAATCATTCTTGTCGCTCTTCTCTGTACCCTTTCCAATTTCTCCACATCTTTCTTGAAATGTGGCGCCCAGAACTGGACACAGTACTCCAGCTGAGGCCTAACTAGTGCAGAGTAGAGCGGCAGAATGACTTCACGAGTTTTGCTTACAACACACCTGTTGATACAACCTAGAATCATATTTGCTTTTTTTGCAACAGCATCACACTGTTGACTCATATTCAACTTGTGGTCCATTATGACCCCTAGGTCCCTTTCCGCCATGCTCCTTCCTAGACAGTCGCTTCCCATCTTGTATGTATGGAACTGATTGTTCCTTCCTAAGTGGAGCACTTTGCATTTCTCTTTATTAAACCTCATCCTGTTTACCTCTGACCATTTCTCTAACTTGCTAAGGTCATTTTGAATTATGTCCCTATCCTCCAAAGAAGTTGCAACCCCACCCAGTTTGGTATCATCTGCAAACTTAATAAGCGTACTCTCTATCCCAATATCTACATCATTGATGAAGATATTGAACAGTATGGGTCCCAAAACAGACCCTTGAGGAACTCCACTTGTTATCCCTTTCCAGCAGGATTTAGCACCGTTAACAACAACTCTCTGACTACAGTTATCCAGCCAATTATGCACCCACCTTATCGTGGCCCTATCTAAGTTATATTTGCCTAGTTTATCAATAAGAATATCATGCGAGACCGTATCAAATGCCTTACTAAAGTCTAGCTATATGACATCCACCACTTCTCCCTTATCCACAAGGCTCGTTATCCTATCAAAGAAAGCTATCAGATTAGTTTGGCATGACTTGTTCTTCACATACCCATGCTGGCTATTCCCAATCACTTGATTACCTTCCAAGTGTTTGCATATGATTTCCTTAATTACCTGCTCCATTATCTTCCCTGGGACAGACGTTAAACTGACCGGTCTGTAGTTTCCTGGGTTGTTCTTATTCCCCTTTTTATAGATGGGCACAATATTTGCCCTTTTCCAGTCTTCTGGAATCTCCCCCGTCTTCCATGATTTTTCAAAGATCATAGCTAAAGGCTCATTGACTTCAGAAAATGAAGATAAATATGATCATATTTCTTATTATTCTGAAGCTTA